AAAAAAACAACCAAAAAACAAACCAACAACAGAAAAACAAACCTATATTCACATTTCAAAAGGATCTGAACATTATAAAAGGGAAAAGAGAGGCTCTGGGCAGCCAGCCCGGCCCACGGTACCCATCTCGCCGGCGTGGGAAGGTCCTGGGAAGACTGCGGTCTCTTGGGAAGGGCTGGGCCTTCGTACCGAGGGAGTTTGGGATGCTTTGGCTTCCATCGGTTTGCAGCTGGGCCTTTGGATGCAACGGAGGAGAACGATCTCTGCTTCGCTGCAGTGATGCTGAAGAACTTCAGTGATGGAGCCCAAGGGCACTGAGCCCTCAAAAGCATCGTCCAGAAACAGGAACTGAGAAAAGCCATTCCCCATACTCTCAGATACCGTTCTTCCCTTTCAGGCAGCCAAGGATGGCAGTCCATCTACTGAAGAGGATCTTAAAACCACCTTCCCAGAGACGTCCTCCCTCTCCTCCCACCCAAGAACCCACCGAAGCAGACCTGCACGCTCTCATTCCGCTCAGCAAACCCCCCGGGAGGGGGCCCAGCACCTAGGATGGCCATTTTCTAGATGAAAAGGAGCAGCAGCATAACATCAGGAAAGGAAAACACTTTAGAGCAGGTATTGCCCTGCACAGCCTGGTAATACTTCAGCAGGGAGTGGAAAGGGTGCGTTAGTGCTGACCGAGAAGTTTGGGGCTTCCCACAGTTTCAGATCCCTCCTCTTTATAAGGATAAGGAGGGAAAAAAAAAAGACTGCAAACCAGATGCTCGTTCCTTTGAGGCAGTCAAATGCATCCCTGGAGGCTCTCAGCCTTCTTGACTCCTAAAGAAACCAGTGGGAGCACCCGGACTCCCTTCTCTCTGTAAAGTCACCTGAGCCCTCCAGGGTGGTAGAGGACGTAGGGAGCTGGTTGAGACAAGCCACGGACCACGTGCACAAGAAGTTGAACAGAGGGAATCTAGACCCGCTCCTGTGTTTTTTTTTCCTCTAGTATAAGACTGACTTCCTGCAAGGGAGAAAACATCTGAGCTTGGGTCTTCTGCTTGCTCTGCACAACAAGCAAGAAGAGCCTGGAAAGATTTAAATGTAATTCTTCCGGGTTCTTGGATGAAAGGAATTTGTCTCTTGTCTAGATGGAAAGGTCCTGCGGTGGCTCGGTCACAGGAGACAAGAAATGAGCACTAGCAAGGGAATAACGTTCTGTGTAGAACAGTGCTATTGGCTGACCTTTAGTATCATCAACTGAACGTCAGTGACTGATCAGCAGCTGGGACAAAGATGCCTTTTTCAAAGATTAAGGGCAGCAAACCCTGTAAAAAGCTTTCCTCAGCAACAAAGGCAGGCAGAGGCAGGATTATCCTGGACTACATGACCAGTGCGCTCTCAAACTGGAGAAGCAGCTGCTGCTTGCAAGGCAGACATGGAAAGCTTACTGAGCACTGAGCAGATGGGGGAAGTCTGTCCCTACCCCAGGTTTCAAACTGTCAAGTGTTGCCTTCAGCTCCAGTGTGGTATCCCCACCAGTGCTTCATTAGCATTAACTCTGGAAACACTTGGTGCCATAGAAATGTGCACTTCACGTGCGAATTCTGGTCCTGAATGACCGAATTAGGGCAATGAACTTGACAGTCTGATTCCCTGCGGTATGAAAACTGTTTGGGTTGAGTAAGTTTTGAATTTGGCAGGTTTTATTTTTCTTGAACGTCCCCAAATGATGAGATTTAGGAAATAAGAACTACTGATATTCCAAAAAACCCCTCCACAAATAGGAGGATAAAAATTAATAAATGGAGAGCCTAGCGATTTCTCAAGTTTCCTCTCTCCATCATCAAAATGTTGGAAAAGGCAGAAGGGTATTTAGAAAAATTCCTTTGCAGTATCATTTCAGGTGCCTCAGAAATATGAAGATAAGGTTGGGTGATGGATGGGGCTCTGCTCTTCCTTTATTATGGATGCTTTTGCTGGGAATTTTTGCTGTGTCTTGGGGCAAACGCAAGGGGGGAAGGAGAGAAGCAGGAACCACGTGAACTCAAGGATTTTCCATGACTCCTGTGACGGGGGAATCTCAGGTTTGAAACAGGCTCAGCAAAGGAGTTGCTCTTAACAGGGCTGGCCATCACACCTATTTTGAGGGTAGGTGGAGGAGTTAGAGGATGAGCGAGAGACTTGTTTACACTGCCAGATGAGAGGGTGGATTCTTTGCAATGGAAGGAGTCTGACCCACCTCCTTCCCAGAAATGCTGACATTGTCCCTGCGTCTTCACCTCTCCCGCTGCTGGCAAAACGCAGCGAATGGCCAAGACGGCCTCAGCTGAGGGACAATGAAGTGACCAAACGTGGTGAGAGCTGTTGTTTTCCAATGAAGTCAGAAGCAGCACCTTGCAGGGTGGACCTGTGAGTGGTGAGATGGAGAACAGCTTGTTCCTGTGTCTGAAATAAGAGTGGAAAAGTTAAATGAAGAAGTCCAGCTTTTGACCTAAGTGAGGAAATGAAGTCAGGAGCTATCGGGCCACAGAAAGTAATTTCTGCAGCTTTTGGTCTCGAAGGCTTGTTTATTTTTGAAGTATTTAGCAAAACCTTCTGTGGCATGAGCATGCCAAAATAGCAGCTTGCACTCCCTCCGCGAGCTCTCCAGCTGGTGACTCCCAAGACCGGCCCACGCAGATAGACAAGGTGGGCTGCCTGTGCCTTCAAAGGAGAAGGGGACCCGGAGAAGATGGCTCTGCGTTTGTATGACCATCACAACGTGGGAACACGTGAGGAGAGCACAAGTGTCACACTGCTTGTCTGCAGTCTGCATCGTGGCGCGCACCGGGCAGGGCCGGTTATTACGCGTTGCCTGTGCAGACGACGAGATGTGAGCTCCTCTGCGGCTGGTACGCTGAACATCTTTGGCCACTCCAGCTCTCCAGTAAGCAAACAGGCCAGTGTTTATTAAACTGAGTGTTCATGGACATCCTGGACCTCCTCTTCAGATCCTGCATTCAAAGGAAAAAGAAAAGTGTCAGCTACAACGGGCTGAACATTCCCAGCCTCTGCAGCTGCTGAGGCCATGACCCTGCCATACAGAGAACAGATGCTGCAGTGAAAGCCACTGAGTTTATTCCGGTATTTTGGAGGGATTTTTCAGGCCACCTTCCCAGTCAGTTTATTCCTCTAAGTTAAAGCATAATAAAATGTAAAGATAAGATGTCAAGCTACTTTTTAAATATTCCAGAGGATGCAGTCTCAGGGCAAGGGGCACCGCAGGATGCACATCACCACCAGATGTTTGCTTTTGGGGCTTTTTGGTGTTTGCTCTCTGCACCAACTCATATTCACACGGTGCCACAGCAGCACCTTCCAGGGACGAGGGACAACAACAGAAACTCCAGACAACACGTGATGTGCAAGAAAGGGATGGCACATGCGTTCCACTGTGTCCAAGAGGCCGCACGGATTGCTGATGAGTCCCAAACAAGCCAAACCCAGTGAATGGTGCTTGAGCACAAATGCCAAACCCTCGTGCCCAGCCAGCAAGGACTGCATCTCGTGTTCTCCACCAGCCCCCTCCACTTTGTGAATTACTGACAGGCAAATCCTGAGCGGTTTGCTTTGAAACTTTCCACGTAAGGGCTGCCCAGAAACGGTGCACCCTGAGGTACCGCTTCAGACAGTGCCTTTCTCTCAGCGACAGAGTGCAGAAACACACACCACGGTCCCCTTCCTAGATGACTCAAGTCTGCCCAGAGCTCTCAGGCAGGGCCAGCACAGCCCAGTAAAAGCATACACGCATTCTTTTTTCACATTTCCCTTTTTCTGAACGTTCCTGAGATCAAAAGGTAACAAACACTCATGTAGATATTCACAGAGGGCAATTCAAAACAACGTTTCAAACCAGCAAATTCTTGTTTGTAATAAATCACCAGCTGTAGGAACAGGACCTCTGAAAATTAAATATATAGGAAGAAAACAAACAAATGAGATTCTGATTGGTAACTGACATGGGAAAATCAATGCACAGACACAGTGTTATACATACACACGCGTGTGCAGGCATGGCCCAAGTATCAGAAGGCAGAGTTTGAGCGTATTTGGCCCTTGTGATTTGTGTCAGCAGTACACTGAATTAAGCTGCTCCTCGTGTGCACCAGCTTATGTGCAACTTCAGAGCCTGTACAGCTTCAGCCGTTCCGTGCTCAGTCAGATGCCGAGTCTCAAACGGTGTTATTATTTTCTGAAAACCATGCCTGTGTGTCCCCCTTGTTATACAAACAGGAAGGTTAAAAAAAGGTCTTGAATTAGGGGCGGTGGTAGAGGCTTAGCTGCTGAACTGACCATCGAGCTCCACAAAGGCAGCGACCTGAAGGAGCAGACCTTGGTGATACAACAGAAATGTTGTTCTTGGGGTATTAACGGTGGTCTTATTCTGCCCTCTCATCCCTTTCCCCCTCTCTAGTAAAGATCAAAGACATGACATGAAAGGGAATGGCTAAGAGGTTGAGCAGGAGATGGAGGAGAGGGAGAGGGTGCTGACAGTGTGCTGCAGGAGCTGAGATTTCCCAGAAAAAGAACTCAAGACATTTCATCAGCCTTTGCTGGGAGTGATCTGGCTGTTCTGGGATGAGATCCGTACGTGCTGGGCTGGTTTAGGAAACCATCTAGCTGTAACTCACTGCCAGTTGTCTGACTTCTCTTAAAAGGATCCATTCAGCACTGCTTGAGGATTGGGTCTTGCCTGAAACAACCCCAGGTACAGTCTCCCAGGCAGGAGAGGCAGGGATGTACCTTCAGGCAAACCCCACCAACAAAAGCTGGTGGAGGTGCTCAAGGAACTGGCGTAAACTCCAAGATCACACAAGCATCTTTGGGATCATGTGCGTTGCCCTGGCGATGGCTGCAGGGCAGTGTTATTCCCTGCAATGCTAGTGCATGGCACTGCCTGCACAAGTGGAGTTTTTCCAGGGGCTGTGGATGGAGATTCAGCCTCACCTTGCAGCTGGGCGAGGTAAGCACAGACCTGCAGGGTGCTGCATCCCACAGGAGCACCGTCAGCTTCTGGAAACCCTGGTTTAGGGACTTCCTGAGCCAGAGAGTGTATTTGCATCTCTGCATTTGACAGCTCTTGATCTAGGCTCTCAAACCCATTTTACTTCTGGCACCTACATCCTCTGGGCAACGAGCATCAATTTCAATACACACCGTGTGTTACCTTATAGGGTGCTTTAAAGCTTCTGGTTCCTGTTTGATGCCACCACTTACTTTGTTGTAAGCACCAGTGAGTCTCTCTTATCTGCCTTCTCCCCTGCTCTCCTGATTTCATATCCTCTCTTTCATATCCTTTGCTAATCATCTTTTTCCCACATGAAAGTCTCTATATTCTGTTTTCTCAGAAAAACCTCACCGCTGTGATCGTGCTCGATACCCTTCTGCACGTCTCCCAACTCTGCTATATCCTTTTTTTCAAAGCACTTCCTGCTTCTCCCACATTTCTTCCCAGCCAGCTCCTAATAATAATTTGATTTTTACTTAGAAGCGGTTCTGCTCATGTGTGGCATTTTGTGCTACTTACATGGGATTTCATCCACCACTCTATTGCCCAATAACTCAGCAACAGGAGATCCTTCCGTAACACTTTGCAGCCAGTTTTAAAGCTGACAATCCTGAAGGATTTTGTCTTTTACAGAATCATGGAATGGTTTGGGTTGGAAGGGACCTTAAAGCCCATCCAGTTCCAACCCCCCTGCCATGGGCAGGGACACCTTCCACTAGACCAGGTTGCTCCAAGCCTCATCCAGCCTGGCCTTATAAACTTTGCTATCTCCTCTCCTCATCCAGGATATTTATGAGCTTGCTGAGAGGTGCAGACAGCTGAAAAGCTCCACTTTCCTCCTTCCCTGAGTAACTTTCGTCCATTAAAACTGATCTGTACTTTATCTCCTAGCTTTCAGCGAGTTGTTTACCTATGAGAGCACCTTCCCTTTTATCCTTTGAGAGCTTCATTCCCCGAAAAGATCTGCAAGGCGTTATCTCTCTCTACAAAAGCTGTGTTTCTTCCTCCCCTGGTTTTCACATTTAGCTATGTGCCTAGAAGTCAGACCCTGTATTTGAATTTTTAACAATTTGCTTGGCAGGAAAGGCAGGCTCATCGTTCCGTGGCTTCAGCTATTTCCCTCAGCTCTTTATTTATAAGCTTTATAAGAGCTGATATTGCCCTCAGCTCTTCCTTCTGGCTCCAGGCATGGGTAACAGATTGCAGTCCACGTTCCCGACTTCACGGTTTTGTGCTTGAGCCCCTGCCCGATGCCCAGGTGAGTGATCTGGAGCCCTGGCAATTGACTGCTATCCACTTCATGGATGTGTCTCAGAAACACTCAGACTGATGATTTATGAGAGATCCTCTACCCCACGCCCTGAATGTCGATGTGCCAGGGTGAGAACCTCCTCAAGCACTTCCACGCTGATCACTAATGCAATAAATTCAGTTTGCTCTTCTGCTATGCAGTTACATCCCTCCGAGACCTGTGTTACTCCCTGGACCTGCAGAGGCTCTGGCAGCCTTCTTCCTTCTGATGGAGTTGAAAACGTTGGCATTAACCGTCTCTTTTTCACAAGCTGTTCGTAGAAATCCTTCCTGGCCTGCCTCACCGTGGCTCTGCACTGCTACCTCTTCCCTGATTTCTTTGTCCAGCCGTACCTTCGCTTCGGAAGAACAGCTTCCTGCTTCTAACTGCCCTCCCTGCTCTGCTGCGTGGCCAGCAAATGATCCCTTGTACCCAAAAGCATCTTCCTCTTCTGGCTGCTTCTTTCAGTATTATTTGGAGAAGAATCACATGAGCACTTAGGCTCCTCTTTTGCAGCCTGTCGTAGCCCTAAACACCACACTCCTCCTACTCAGGTGCATTTGGGGATTTCTGTGTTACTTGTCACTGAACTTGGCGCTCTCCTTAACGCAGCGTCCCTCCCATGCCACCAGAAGAGACACACTCTTCTCCCCTCTGTAATTTCACCTGGGAATTACAGGGTCCCGCTGTTGGTTTTGTTCTTTTTTTAAAACTGGGTTTCTTAAAAGTTTATGTCAAAACTTTAATTTAAAGCCAGGGTTTCTAATTCATCCACTTACATTTTTAGCCTTAGAGCTTTTATCTAGAGGCATATATGCATTTCTTGTCTGTTGTGTCCTGCTTACACGGGACTGTCTAAGGAAATTGTTCTCTGCTCCTTTTACTGCTTCTCTACTGATTTATGTCCAGTCCTTTTCTAAAATAAAGAACCAATGTGGTTGATTATAACTCAGAGGCTGTGTTATATCAACCAATGCGTTTTCAGCTTGGTGGCTTTTCTGGGAAAGCCCTGCAAAAGCTCCCACTCTCCTCAACTGTCCTCAGTTCCTAATAAAGTTAAATCCTTCCTTTCTATGCATTTCTCAGTCTTATAAGGAGATTCTGACTCTCTGGCTGGTCCTGAAAGCATCCACAGAAGCTACTGCAGTCCAGCAGACACAGAGTCACGCTGCTTTCCAACGCTTCGCTCCTAGCTCCTGGTAAAGGGGGAGCAAGGGCTGCATGTGCGTGACAGGGTGCACTGGCACTGCCTCGGGGTGGGTGTCAGAGAATGGCTCTCACCCCCACCCAGAGGTGGGCACAGATCTGAGCTGCTGGGACCCTCTACAAAGTGACAGAGGCATCACAGCACGGCCCCTTGCAACGCCCTGGACACTGCGGCACCCAGCACTCGTGTTCGGTGCGCAGACTCCTGCTCGGGTGGCTTGGGGAGTCCTCCCAGTTTCATTCTGAAACGGGAGCTCAAAGCAACTCATGAGCAGCCTGCCCTCACGCCAGGATGGCTCTCTCCATGTGGAGGTGCCCTGCTGTCATCCTGGGAGGTGTGTCCTGGTGATACAGATGCCCACCACCTCCAACTCCGGGGATATCAGCACTCAAAGCTACCTGCAAACCCGAGAGACATCCCTGCACTGCTGCCTCCGTATCTCTCAAAACAGCAGCATCCCTCCGGGCCCTTTGAAGAACCTCCCGTATCACCTATCTGCAGCGTCAGGAACTTCTGCGCCTGGGAAAAAAAAATCTGTTCCTGGGAGTCTGGGAGACCGGAGCGCCACAGGCAGCCAGCACCCTGGTCCATCCAGCCTCTCCCCTTCCCCTGCTGCCTCCTCGGCAGGCGCTCCACCACCGCAGCCGGGGTGTGGTGTAGGGCTGGATAGACGAGCACGGGGAGGAAGTTATTATCTCAGCGGCACAATGGGCACGGTGAGTCACGAGTTGAAGGCCAGCATTTTAACAGAAATTAGGCAGCTAGATCTGTAGTTGGTACCTAAATCAAAACGATTTGCCTGAGGACCTGCAATGAGTCAGTGGCAGGGCGAGGAAGGGAGCCAGGCTCTCCTCGGAGCCAGCACCTACCCAGGCTGACTCGCAGGTTGCTGCGTTCAGAGGAGCCTGAGAGAGCAAGACCTGGGAGCTATATTCAGGTTCTTTCAAACAGCTGCATCTCAAACACATTTTCCTTCTCTCAGCCAGAGATTTACAGCAGTTAGGCAACGGGCCAAACTTTAATCACGTCTGATTTCCAAAAGACACTAAAAAGCAACTCCCACACTACAGAGGCAGGTGAGAAATGAGGGATGTGCAAATCCATAAACTCATTTAGTCTGTTCTCCTACTACCACCAGCCACGCACACTTCCTTCCTTATTGATTCCAGTTAGCTGGGGTTGGCTAAGCCAGCTACAGCCCAATAAGCCTTAACGATGAGTGCCTCTGCCAGCAAGACACCCAGACTGACGGAAGGACACTGAGAAACGTGCTCCCACCCCTTCCTGTGGGAAATATTCCAGCTGCTACAGAATTTTAGTTAAAACCAGCCACCTTATTTCTTATGTATTATTTTAGGATGAGACTGCAGGGTTTGGTGCACTCATGAAGAGGTTTGGTAATCGTTCAGGCCATCATCTCCCGACAGGTGAGCTCTGAAAGACTTCTGCTGCCAGCGGTCCTGTAGGAATGCCCACCGTGAAGGCACCAGGTCTGCTGGCAGCCAGAGTACCTTCAGCAAACCACCCTCACTCCCTTGCTCGCTGCGAGAGGAGGCAAACACCACACTTACCCTGACTACCTTGCTGAGATGGGCACTGAAGGTGAAGACTGTGTCTGGGGGTGCCTGTCCC